GGTTTAGGGTCTAGAGGGTCTGTAGGGTTTTTAGGGTTTATAAGGTTTAGGGTCTAGAGGGTCTGTAGGGTTTTTCGGTTTTTAGGGTTTAAGGTCTAGGGTCTATCGGTTTTTGGGGTGTGGGTAATATGGGGTTAGAGGTGTTCTATTTACCAGATGCCGCAAAGCCCAGTCCATCTATTGAGGCTCCTGTTGTAAGTGCTAGGGCTGTTACATTTTTTTCCGGGTTATGTCCAGGGTTTAGGGTTTAGGGGGGTTTTAGGCTTAGGGGTTGTGCTATCTAAACACTAGTAAGCCCAGTAAGCCCTAGCCTGCGCGATTTCGATCGCTTCGGGTTGGTGGGTTCTTGGTGTGAAGGGCTCGGTTCTGGCTTTCGGGTTACTTTAGGGTTAATTATAGGGTGTGGGATTCAGGACCTGTCAGGAAAGAGAGAGAGAGAGTTAGAGCTTTCGGGTCAAGAAGAGTAATTGGTGTGAACCTGGATTTAGGATTAGTTTCTAGTTTAGGCAACGGCCCAGGGCCTTGGGGTCTAGGGTTCAGGTATAGGATTCATGTTTGCATGTACCGGGCCATGCGTTGAAGGACTCAGGTGTTGAGTTTCTGGGCTTGAGGGTTATGGCTTCAAGATGCAAGTCATGTTCGTGGGACTCTAGCAGACTCCAGCATGCCGAGGAGAAATGCAGGCGAGTTCATCGTTGTAGGGTTTCGCTTTCACGTCGCCTATGAATCCTCAGGGCTCCTTCTATGAATCCAGCGGCTAAGCCCCAAAAGCACAAGCCTTTCGACTACGCCTCATGACATATATGGGTCGGAAGAAGTGATCATCAAGGCATCGCTTTTACCTCCGTCGTGTTGCTATCCTGGGGCCAAACAAGCACCAAATGCAGGTCCTCACCCCCCTTACCCCCTAATCAGTGTGTCTTACAAACCAGCTCCCGCCTGGCAGCTTACGTTTTAGGGTGGCTTCTTTGTAATTACTACAGGCTTCATAGTTAAAGTCACGTCTTGGAGTAACTATGGTAAAATGATGTTGGGGACCAGAAGAGGGTCCCTTCTGCCAATCCACAAAATCTTCGGAAGGCTGCAGATCGCCTTGCATCTCAATGTGCCTCCGGCAAGGCCTGTCTGAACGACATCTTCCGGCCCAAACCCTCAAATTCTGCACCTCAACACCGGCCTAAGCCGGCAAAACCCTAAATCCACCAGCTTATCCAAGCCTTAGCTCGTACCCGACATTGTTATGAGTTTAACCGTGCTTTGGGTTTCCCGAATGCCGTAATGTATACCTCTGCACAAACCTTCTTCGCAATATATGGGACGTTCTCTAAATTAGGGTCCCTTTTGGGATCCTTTTGATAAGGGCGCCGTACCATATTGGGGACCCAAACAGGGACCTTTATGTTAGGGAACTACCCATATAGCAGCAGGGATGCTAATATATTGGCCCTTGAAAAGGGGTGTATTTATTTGTCAGGTCTAAACTGCATTGCGCTTGCAGTCTTTGCTTTCGATTGCCTGCACTTAGGCCTGTGGCTTCCTGTAGTAGCCTCTACATATACATCTATGTATAGAGCAATGACTTTGCAAATTGAATAAGCTTCTGATTAGTCTATTAAATGTACGGATTAGACGTATGACTATCTTATACTGATCTCAACAATATATGTTGTTCACTTTGGACCCAACCCGAAGTGACAAAGCCTTGTGGCAAAGATGAGGAGGATGGCTGCGCACTATGGTCACCATTGTTCAGAGAAGCATGAAGCCATCTGGTCTAAACGACAATCGCCCGAAGGAGATGACACAACCGCAGAAGCTTCAACTGACACGCATGCCTTGGTGCCACGTCGCTCTTCTCAGACCTGCCAGAAGGCTTTGACTTTCATCCAGGTCCTTAACCCTACACCCCAAGTCGAAATCTTAAACCCTCAACGGTCACCGGTACAGCAAGCCTTCTAGTATATGCCTTAATTTCAGCAGAGCTTCTACTGAACCGGGGTTTAGGGGCTCAGGGTTACCTACAATTTCCAAAACAGTATTACAAGGGGTGCATACGGTAAGACCCTCGAATCTGTTCCATTTGAGTGTACGAAGTAAACCAAAATATACGTACTTAGCGCACCTCAACACGAACTTTTCATTTTGGGGTAGGTTTGTAAGCGATTCAGAAGCTTTTGTAGCCCGGGCTGCGGTTCGGCAGTTTAGGGTTTTAGTTTGAGGTGTTTATGGAGTGGGGCTGGGGTTCGGACGTGCGCCTCAGGATTGGGGTTTCAGCCGTCTGATGTTGATGTTGAAGAAGCTTCGGTCTGGGGAAAGTGGAGGCATGGGGAGACTAGATCAACCCTAAAACCTAAACCCTAAACCCTCTGCCTTGGATCGGCAGGGAGGATCGGGCAGGCTCAAAAAGGAGTTCAAAAAAAAAACTAAACCGACTAGATCCTCAACTGCATCCCCCCCCCCCCAACACACAACAGCTCACATATTTCCTCGCCGTAGATTAACTCACAACAGAGAGGTGTCGGGATCTCAACTGTCGGAGATGCTTTGCGACAGAGCGGCAGCCTCGTTTCTGGGTTTGTGGAGGCTCGAAGCTCTTGGGAACTTCCTCGCGTTGCGGGCCTTGGGTGTAGCACACCACTTTGCTTACAAAACATATAACCTAAACCCTAAACCCTTTATAGGGCAGATGCTCAAGGCGTCCATTTCCCGGTCTAGGATCCGGGGTTCTCTGAACGAGCGCTGTGCTGGATTTGGGCACGCATCGAGTGCCGGGCTGAAGGTTTAGAGCATTTTAGGGCTTATAAGGCAGGGTGGAGCTCTTAGGCTTACCCATCGGCTCCATAGTAGTTCCTTTTTGGGGTTACCTTATAGGATCCTAAATATATGAACCACAAAAGAGGAACTACTATGGAGCCTATGGGTAAAGAGTCTACAGGTTAAGGATGCGCATGGTTTTGGGGAGCTTAGGTCAAGTGGCAGCCACTCTACAAAGCGGTGGTTGCATGAACAACGCCTCAGACGTGACGGTGGCTTAGTACAGAACACCGATGTAACATAATGAACCCGAAACACTAAACGAGCCGGATCTACATCATAAGACTCCTAATGAAACTCCCCAAAGACACCCCGCTTGTGGGCATAGATCCTCAGCCATGCGAGAGGGGAAGAAACCCATAAACCCCTGAACCCTTAAACCCTAAACCCCAAACCCTGAACCCCTAAACCCCTGAACCCTTAAACCCTAAACCCCAAACCCTAAACCCCTAAACCCCTGAACAATTAAACCCTAAACCCCAAACCCGGAACCCCTAAACCCTAAACCCGTAACTAAGGTCCGACGTCTCTACTTGGGCCTCGATGGCGGGGCGTCAGCGGATGAGGGGCTCCTTAGGCTCCTCCAGCTCCTTGTTCTGCGAAAAAAACGGGGCTGTGGGATCTTAAGTCTTGCTTTGGGGGGTTGCAGCTTGGGATATAGGGCTGTTTTCGGAGTTGGGGGTATAGGATATATAGGACTGTTTCCGGATTTTCGGATATGTGGGGTTGAGTTTTCAGGGTTTCGGGACAATCTGCTCGGTTTTTATGTTGTTTTTTACAGGCTCTTTGAGGGTTCCTTGAGCCGTCGACCAGGGTTATAACAGTAACTTTGGGGGTTTGCGGTTCAGGATTCAGGGCGGGTTTTCGATGGGTCCTATCCTCTAGAGTACCCTATAGCCCCCCAGGTACCTACTATATAGGGTACTAGAGCCCCTATAGGGCCCTATATAGGTGGTATTTGGGGGGGTTAGGGGTATCTACAAGATTTCGAAGGGTTCTGTGGGGTCTCCCGGTGTCTCCCAAGGGTGATGTTGGGTTGCAGAGGGTCCGAGGGTGTTCTGTTCTCTTCAGGTCTTCTTAGAGCAAAATCTAAAAGCCGTGGTGTGAGGAATAGGCTTGGCGTTGAGGGCGTTAAAGTTTAGAGTGTAGATAGGAAGTTTGGATTTAGGCTGGAGGCTCTTCAGTTTGAATTTTCAGGATGTCGGGTTGGAGGTTTACCCTAACCCTCCAGGTACCTCCTTTATAGGGGTCCTAGGGGCTCCAGTACCCTGTATAGGAGGTACCTGGAGGGTTAGGGTTTAGGGTCTAGCCTTGAGGGTTCTTCGGGAGCCGGGCTTCTAGAGAGCCCCGGGTTTGCTTGCTTTGGAGGCTTTGGAGGCTTTGGGAGCGTGTACAAGGTTTAGTCCAGGGGCCGAAATAACTACCAATACTATTCTATAGGGCTCCTTATTGCAATTCGTTCTGTAAGATACCCCAGAAATGTCAATTCTAATGATTAAGGCCCCTACATTAGGTATTACGGAATTTAGGGCTGTTGGGCGGGTAGAGTTCGGCCCATCCGGGAGAATCCCAAGCTTTTTGGTCAGCCTAGGTTTCCCGGGTAATAGGGTTTAGGGTTTAGGATTTGGAGTGGGCTCAGAGTGTAGTATGTGTAGTTGTTTCAGGTCTAGGGCCATTAGGTTTCTGTTGTTTTGGGGCACACGGCAGCTGTTTGCGGCAGCAGGATTCGGGATCTTTCAGTTTCTGGCGCAGCGCATCTTTTCGCTGTTGAGACGGACGACGAGATTTGTTCATGTGAAACCTCATGTTCACTCGTGGATGGCCCGTGAAGTTGGCCAGAGCTTCGTGGCTGCGAAGTGTTTAGCTGTTCAGCTGTTCTGAGCAGTGTCAACATGTGTTACAAGTAACTCCAAGAGCCCAAGAACCTGAACCAGATTTTTTTCTTTCTGGAGACGCTCTCGAAAGCCCAAGAGTATACGACAAGTAGGTTGTGGGAAATTTGGGGGTCGACGGTCGATTAGGTAACGGTATCCACCAAAAGAGGGGAGCTCTTGCAGCAGGCCTGACAGGCTCTAGAGTCTAGATAGCCTGCCAAACGCTGTTTCTTATTTCGGCAAGCAACATCAATCAAGGATCCGAAATCTCGCGATCCCCAATAGAGAGAGTTCCCATTCTGTTCGAAGCCCGTAACAGTAGCCTTATGAGGAGTCATCCCCACACCCAATGAAACCCCGAAACAGCTTGACAAAGCCCCATGAGCAGCAGCCAAACATGTTGACCTTGAGCCCGAAGCCCTCGCAAAGGCTTGCGGATGCCATGAAGACGCCGCTGTGTTGCATCTTCCAAGAAGCCCAGCTACACCAATGTATGGCAAGTTCTGGTAGTTAGGTTTGAGGCTCAGTCTGTAGGGGACATAGGTTAGTCAAAAAGTGTGCTCAGAGCTTAAAGAGTTTAGGTTAATTACTTGGCTTATATGGAAAGGTAACTTGCCTTCTTGGGTTTGTCAAGCAGCCAAGCCCTGCATAGCCGCATCGCAGCGATAGGTGAAGAGTGGTGTGAGGGCAGCGTCTTTCTTGAAGAAGGAACGAGCTAGCAGAATGTCATTCAATTTTGCAGCCAAACATGTCCTGGCAGCACTTTCGTGCCACTGGACACCATACACCCCAGTGTAAACCCAAACCGAAGACGTGCAGCCGAGCGCTCATCAGCGAAGCCAAAGGCGGTTTAGGCAAACAGGTGAATTCCGATCCCTAAATCTTCAAGTCGCTGCATGTAATACGAAGCCCGCAAGCCACCAAGAAGCACATGCTGTGCACGAAGGCAGGGCAGCCCGATGATGATCGAGGCCGTGAAGCAGGTCAAGGACAGTTTCCGAGTGTAGGTGTTGGGGCCCTGCGCGACATTGCCTGGGAGAGTTTATGCCAGTGCTTCTGGGCTATACGCAACGTATCCAATGCTTTAAAGCCGAGGAAGAGATTCTGATACAGCAAAAAGAGTTTGGAAAAAGGTCCTTAAACTTTGTCAATGGCGCCCATTATCGAGAAGCTAAGTTAAAACCCGGGCATCAACCCTGCGAACTACACTAGCTGCACCTGTAGCAACACGCACACTCATACGCACAATCTGTTGTGGCAGCCCAGCATCCGACACCCGGAAGCACCAGGACAGTGTCAGCGAGGAGTTCTTGTCTCTGAAATCCAACGTGAAATGCCAGGCGTTTGTTTGCTCTTGTGTTGAATCTTGGGCTTCGGGAGTTTTTGGGATGGGGCTCAGGGGCAAGCATGCGAAGCGTGTATGCACAGGGCTGGAAGGGGCACTCTGCTGCACCTGGGTATCAAAGCCAAGCAGCCCAGACGATGCGGAGGAAGACGAGACGGAGTGGGGAGGGTTGAAGACGCCAAGAAAGCTTCAATCTGCGGGATGCCATAAGTTGAACAGAAAGCTCTAAACCCTTACAGCCACAGGTCGTACCGAAGACCAATGCATCACATCCTGCTGGGGTTTTCACACCTGAAAGCTTAGGGACCCCCTTACCCCTAAACCACTGAGTGCACAAGCCCGAGAGGCCCTAGGCTCTTGAATTCACAGACCCCAGATTCCTAGGCCCGTAGTAGGCCCTGAACCACTCTAAGTCCTAAGCCCTTATAAGACCCTATGCTCTGAAACTTTGATAGACCCATGAACCTAAACCTTTAAACCCACCTGAAACCCTATACTCCTACATGCTTAAGCCAGAGCCTTGAACCTTCAAAGACCTTCAACCCGAAACCCTAAACCCCCCCCCTTTGAACCCTGAACCATTTATCCCCGAACCCACGCTTCAACCCTGAACCCCAAGCCTGGGTCCATCAGCTCCATATCTGAAACCCTGCAAACACTGTTACGATCCATTGGGGGGTTGGATGTGGAGGGTATAGGGTTCACGGGCTAATAGGGTTAGGGTTTGGGGCTTTGGGCTTGGATTCATGCTCGGGTTAGGGTCTAGGTTTACGGTTTCGTGTATCGGATATCGGCTGCGTTTAGGGTATTCAGCTATTTCTGCCTTGCTTGTAGGCACTACTAAGTTACCGACCCTCTTGGGGTTCCCCATGAGTTCCTATTATAAAGGTCCTTAAAACTGGTAGGCGCTTCAGTGTGCAGGTAGGGCTTAGAGCGCAAGCCTCCGATGTGGGATCCAGTGAACTCCTGCAGTTTTGGGCTGGGCTTGAGATTGGCAGAATAAGAGAAAGCGTTTGTGCTTCGAGGGTTCTACAAGGGCGCTTTGGGTTTTTCGGGTTTCGAGGTTTCCTTTCGTTGGATTTGGAGTCCGGATCCAGGGGTCGCTTCAATCTTCTCTGCGCGGTCTCCGCTTAAGGGCAGCTGCCGGAGAGCCACAATACCCAAAACTCCCAAAATCCGAAGCCCCTTGAGCCCTAGCGCCGTAACCCTACAACCCGCGGCCTCAAACCCCCAAACTCCCGACTCCGCCCCCTCCAAAAACTAAACCCTAAAACCCTAAGCCCTACACCTTAAGCCCTGAACCCAAAGGGGAACCCACAAAAACCGTCCTTTAAAGGCCGTGGCCACCCCGCTGCTCGTGCGGCTGGGTCTTGGGGGCCCGGCTGACTTGCCCGACCTCCTCGGTGAGGCGCGTTTGTGTTGCTTAGGTTTAGGGGTTGGGGGTTAGGGTTTAGGGTTTAGGGTTTGGGGGTTAGGGTTTAGGGTTTAGGGTTTGGGGGTTAGGGTTGAGGGTTTAGGGGTTGGGGTTTGGGGGTTAGGGTTTAGCGTTTGGGAGGTGGGTCCTCAGGGTCGGGTTTCGTTTCGTTTTGCCTGGGTTTTGCTTTGAGGGTTTGGGGTTTCGTATCTGTTCGGATTTAGGTCTTTTAGGGTTTCGGGTTCAGAGCTTTCGGATTCCAATAGAGCAGCATTTAAATGTCGGAGTGTTGTGTTGCTTTGGGGTTTCGGGTTCGGGGTTGTCAGTGGCCAGAGTATACCACCAACATAAACTTGAAACTTAAATCCCCAGAGCACCCTTGACCTTGTAACATGTATGGAGTACCAAACCCACAGGGGTTCAGGTTTTGGGGTGTGCGTTTGTTTGGCCGAATGAAATACCTACCACATTCGTACTTTGGCCCCTTTTTCTTTGTGAAACCCTTGTCAAGATGCAACACTGGACTGGATTTGAAGCCATGGTTCCGGTAAACTTCTCAAAGGGTTCAACAAGAACACGCTCCCCCAAGTTCTATGTTGACTATACAGAGGCGTCCTACCGCAGACTTTAATACATGCTCGCATCGACCTATCAGGACGCAGAGACTAGAGAAGCAGGCAAGGGCGTAAATTTACCTAAAGAAGCTGGGTAAGGCCGGCCAAAAAGGTCGTAGGGTTGTAGAATTAGGCTTCCATGGTTTTGGAACTCCAGGAGGTGGGGCTGGCTTCGGGCGAAGTGTTTACCCTCTTCTGGCCTTTGGTGTCACGTACTGCTGTCTGATTGGAGCTTGGGCCGTGCCAAAACACAACAGATGCAGCATACAGGTTCGGTTTTATAGGATCTGGATGTGCCAAGGGACTGGTGCCCAGACTTTTTCCAACTGCGTCTGGGTCTGCCCCAGAAAGCCAGACAAAACCCTCTACAGCTGTTGGCAAATTCTACAAACCATATAAACTTAGACTGGTAGAAATTCAGACGGCTGAGTAGAGCAACATCGAGACTGGAATTGTAGTGAGGGCCTGAAGCAGCATACTAAGCCAAATCTCAGGAACCAAACCAAGCACCCTAAACCATACAACCACAGAGGTCTAGTCAAAGTAGATACCCGGAGCACGCAGAGAAAAAGAAAGCACACACTATGTGTCTCGTATGTCTACGTCTAGTACAAGCACAAAAAAACGTGTATAAATTATACATACATACATACATACATACATTGCATGCATGCATGCAT